TGGAGGGATAGACAGATGCACAGATGGATGATTGATGAACACATGGGTGTTTATGTAGAGAGAAGAAGTAAATTTGGAAGAAATGAGGGATTAAAGCATACATGGATTATACATTTATGTACATGTGCTTTTTTAAAAGAAAAAGAGAAGGGAAAGTATTTAGGACATGTGGCAGGTGCTTATTTATCCATTGCTATCTAGATAGAAATATAGCATAACAGAGTTGCCAAATGTGAACTAGAAATATGGACACAGGGATAAAGAGCAAAATAAATGCCTATGCTAAACAGGTGATATGTTGTATAATATATCTATTTCCCTCTTAATTCTTCAGAGAAAGCTAGGACCATGGCTAACTATGGATGTAGATGATTTTCCAATTCAAAGTTCAAGTTGATTAAGGTAATAGAAATATATAGGATCGTGATGTTTAGCATCACTATCAGTACTACCAGGTACCTGATTACAGGGTTTTGAGATTTAAGAAAGCTTATAAACTAAGGTTGTTCATGTTCAGGGAAATGCTAAATTTGCCCTGAACATTGTGGATTTGGTTCTTAAAAGCTAGAAGAGAACATCTGTGATGCTGGAGTGCACTGAATTTGGTGCAATAAATTAGGCACGTACAGTATAAGTACATCTGCATGCTCTTTTGAAGCCCTGGTCCAGACCTCAGTACATGTCTGTAAAACAGGGTTGTTTACACGTGTGGTGAACTCTTTCTCAAACAATTGATCTCTACATAGCTACCTCCTCATGTATCACTTGCCCCTCCCTCTTAGATTGTAAGCCCTCACAGGCAAGGCCCTCCTTACAATCTTGTCTTGAATTGTATTGTAATTATGTCTTACCTATATTGTAAAGCACTGCGCAAACTGTTGGCTCTATATAAATCCTGTATAATAATAGTTGTTTCATATATAGGCACATCTGACGCGGGTGTTTGCATTTTGTATGTGCATGTACATGGGGGCAGGGAGCTTTAAACATTTTTTTAAATTTTTTTTATTCATTTACTTTATTTAAATGTATTTATTTATTTAACTTTTTTTACACTTAACTTTATTGCTATTAAATAAATATAAAATGTATCTCTTTTATGGTCATGGCCCTATCTTTCTAATTCACAATATCTAAAAGAAGGAATGCTTTCACATTACTCAGAACATCCTCCTGCAACATCTCAGCGATTGCATATGTAAATAATTCAATTGACTCCTCATAGCCAGTTTGTGGAGCTATGGCTGGATTAGCAGAAGAAGAGGGCCCATTTTGCAGACAACTGGTTGATCTGTGCCTGAAAGGAGGAAGTAGAGGAATAATTTTCCAACTACCCCCTGCATGTACTGTGGCTGTATAGCAGAGACACTCTTTGTTAAAAAAAAAAGGTAGATGTTCCCTGCTTCTAGATGGTGTGGCCCAACCACTGGTTTGTAATACAGAACCCGCTTGACCCCTATTACCTCTGTGTGCAGAACCTTTGTTTCTCAGTTTAGGCCTGCCTGACATTTGCATTTAATAAAAGGGATTGATAACATTTTATGGCAATATAAACAATAAAAATTAAAAAAAACCTCAATAAAAAAATTGTAAGGGTTCTCCAGCTGCTCCTACAGTTGTTGCTGTCACATACATAAATATAGCCCTAAAATGGACTGTTTGGTCTCCAAACTGTGAACACAGTGGGGTAAACAAGAATATGTAGCCAACCATACTGCAATACACTGTAAAGGTGTGCGCAATATAGCACAATATAGGGACTAACTCTTCGTACACAGACTGTCAGCTCTCCCTAAACTGCTCCATTGCTCACTGACATATGGCTGCTGGATACCCACAATTATATAGTGAGGGGGCTGGCACATATAAAAGCCCTTATTACTGGCTATTCTAACCACGCTGACCACAGTTGAAAGGTCAGGTAGAGAATAATGGAGCCTTTAAAATTCAGTCTGCCGCCTTTAAAATTCAGTCTGGAGAACCTCTGCAGAAATTCACCAGAACTGCAAACCTTGAACCTCCCAGATATGTCGTAACCCTGACCCTCATCCCTAGCACTGGGTGTTGGCCAATTACTGAGTATAAAACTAAAAAATGCTATGGTGTAATTACAGAGAGTTTAGCAAGCCAGGGTGGATTTAAACCTACTGTACCTACAGATAGTATTACTATGGCAGCATATTAAATAACATTCAAAAAATACCAGGGTTTACCAGATATTATCCTATTATTATAATTCTGATACTAGTCTAATAGTTAGCCAGGTGTCTGTTTATCCTCAAAGTGCAGAAAAAATAAGCTTTATTCTGGTCCCTGTCAATTCCATGTCAGATTATTTATTTGAATAGTCACTCTATTGCGTAAAGTCAGTAATGATAGAAGGTATTAAATGGACAAGTCTAATGGTCATTTTTTGGCCAATATAAGAATACTTTTGACCCTTTGTTTAGAAGCAGTATGTCAGGTATATATAAAGAAATCTGTAAGTATTCCAGATAGATAAATACAGTGTTCATTTGCCTACTATCTTGTAGGTTTTTATCGCATGGTTTCTTGGACAGCCATATTTCAGGCCTTATTAGCATTTTTTGTTTGTATATCTGGAAACTCCCATGCAGTGAAAGAGTAATTTCATTGGCATGCACAATTTCTTTTCCCACAGGCTCTAAAAACAACATGCTGGTTAATTTTCATCAAGGGAATACAAATATATCTTACTCTGAGCAGAGATTATTGTAAGAAACACCAACACATTTATATAAAGCAAACATGTACTGTATTTTTTCCTAGCAATAAGGGACTCGCACACTGAATGCGTACATGTAACTTAAACGGGATATATCGTTTCTCAGCAATTTTTTAGATACAATAGTATGGTAAAAGCCACCAACTTGATGCAAAAACTGTTATCAATGTGTGCTAGTGTTTTTTAAGTTATTTATTTGTATAGTTTGTAATTATATTAAGGGGGGTGATAAGTGTAGATATATTTTGCAGCAAAAATCCTTTTGTTTTCTCTCACATATGATTGGGTATTAAAGGTTAACACAGCTCTACCTTTTTTACTTATATGCACTTTGCAAAGTGAGCTGCTGCTGTTCCTTTAGTAAATGGAAAACAATGCACCCCCTATCTGGCTGATATATCCACACATACAATTACAAAGATATAGACGAGCAAGCATGTAAAATGTAAAGGCCACAAAAAATACTTAAAGGTAAAGACTTTAATATCTCAACATACATTATGTACAATTTGAAAACACACTATATCTTTAAGCAGATTAGGCCATGCTAGATCACTCTAAAATGTTCACAATATGGAGTGACAAGAACTAAATATTACTGTTGTTGAAAAATAACACTAATCCGATTATGAGATGATTGTATATACTGCTCTGTAGCTAAAAACCAAGGGCCAAATGGAGTTGTTTATATTTGGATATATGCTGAATTACTGTTAAAGATCCATCTAACCTTTGATATAGTTGAGTGGCCTTAACTGTTGTCATATGACCAACAATTAAATTGAATCTGACTTGGCCTGGACCTTTTTCAGTTAACACAATGTAGATACCACATGTACCTGTTTTAGTCTTCCAATTGAGATTAAAGCGCATCTAAAAATATTTTATTAATTTGTATTGAATCTCTTGCAAGCTTTTCTAGTTGTCTGTGCCCCCACTGAGGAAATTCACATTTGCCGTTTCTCCTGAAGACTTTTGTCACCAGGTGCTTGCACTTCAACATTACTGTTGCTTTAGAAATGTTTAACCTAGGTCATGTTCTCTTTAAACTAGCATACATGAATTACGCACATTGACAGATTATACTTTTTAGCGCTTGTACATGTTGTATGTTTCAATAACAGCATTGCTGTAGCACAAAGAGCTAACTGTACAGAACATAGTAAATGTAAAGAACAATAGCTAATGAATTGATAAGCAAAATGTCCTTAATGTGTTTTGAAATATGTGCAGGTATGACAGACCGAAATGTGTAATTCATTATGTTGTGTTGGACCTGTGTAAGAATCCCCATTACTTTTAGTTTGATAGGCACCATGTTGGGTCAGATGTTCACGGCAGAAATAACAGAACCTTCTCTGGCAACAATTTAAAGAAATGTAACAATACAAAAGCCTGTCACCTAAGAAATATTGCAAGCACAGAGACCACTACATGAACCAGGTATCAGCTGTTGGCTGTGGTCTTTGGTGGACTCTGTATTTGCAGTATTTATTTTATTTGGTAACTGTTACATGGCGCATTCCTAATTTTTTCATTATGAGGCAGTGAAAATTGAGCTTGAGAAACGTGAAAGCTCGAGCTTGAGAGCACCAGGACTCAGAAAATGCTCCTTGGACATTAGGAAAGGGCAATAAGAGCCCTGTTTTCAATCTTATACTTTACATGCATTTGTTCAAGACCTGACAATTGCCCTGCACAATCATTCCCACAATAGAAAACAATCTGGTTATATAACTTCATCTTTAAGATGTGTATTAATAAAGTAGCAGTTCTGACTTATACCAGTCACTGACAGTCGCATTGACAGTTATTGATTGCCACCTGTAAATGCTTGGTGAAAGTCACTTTCACTGCTTTGCTCTGTGTATCAGTGCATGTACTGCCTCAATTGTGACCCATGTCTAGTTTTGTTATGAAGCGGTGTATGGCTAGCTCTGCTAAAAAGTCAGTTGCCTGACTATTGGTTCAGGTGGCTTGCCCTATGAATGTGTGGGCACATTGAAGCTTTGAATTCCTCATAGCTTGATCAGCTTGACACACTAACTTGTTGAGAAAAAAAAATGCACCCTTAATGAATGACAAACAGGAGCTTTTGAAAACAGAAATGTATTGGCTCTGTGTTTTTAGGCTTTAGTTGCTGTAAGCCGTGTGCTTTTTAAAAAGATTGAAAGTATTTTTTATGTACCGCAGTATGCTTTATCAGCTTGCAACATAGATAGTACAGATAACAGACTTGTGTTTTTATCTACAGGAAGCTTGTGTGTAGCACAATCAGTTAAAATCCCACGAGAGCCAAAAGCGGGAGAATTTGATAAGATAATTCGGCGTCTGCTGGAGACATCTAATGCTCGTGCTGTCATCATCTTTGCCAGTGAAGACGATATCAGGTGAAGGATTTCGGATTGCTTTTTCTAATGGATAATCAGAATAAACAGAGTAATCTTGGTATACTGCATACCATACAGGGAATATGTGGTTGTTGCTTCTGTTAATGATCAGCTGCTGTATATGAAATTTAGACTGTTGGAGACCATGCACATCATGCTGGCCTAAATGTTCTAGGATAAGTTTTTTTCCCCATAATCATAGAGAAATCTGCCTTCCTATCCTTGTGCCACTAAACCTGTCATGAAATGTGTCTTGTGTTGCAGGTGTCCTACCTTTTTGCTTTTTACTATTTACCTTACAAAATAGTAATAGGTAGGTAATTGTGCATTACGGTTAATACATACTTCAGAGAAAAATTACATGCACCCAGGAATTGCTTGATTTTCATGCACAAGTTTTGGAAATAGCTCTCCTTGTTTGTAAATAGTACAATGCAGGTTGTGCCTTGCTAAGACAGGTTTATCAATTGGATTAATACTGATCGTTAGGAGCATGTGGAGGAAAAAGTAATCAGCCTCGAAAACATATAAAGCATTTTTTTTTTTCTTTTACACTCCATATGCTTAATTCTTATCTCTGTTTGTCATGGTTACTTTCAAGATTTCAATAATGCAATTGTTCGTTTTTTAGTTTTCTATCATTATTCATTTATGAAGTGGAAATACATTTCACAGTTCTTCATAATAAAAAAGCAGTTGCATACGTTATTGTAAAATGTGAGCATGCAAAGAAAACAAGGCTACAAGCTTGTGATCAAAACTGAATAGGGAATAATTAGGACATAATAGCTGAGTTTTTTTGCATGAGATAAGAAAAGGCTGGTACAGATTCTTAAAGGAAACAATGAAAATGTACTTTCTTACATTGGGCGCTATTTTTATATTCTTGTTTGTGCACAATGCTCCGACTATAAGTGAATGATTACTACTGCATGATACTTGGGTATCTTCCTCAATAGGGAGTCATTTGCCTCTCTTGTGCGGCTACTACTATTTGTATGCCGCTAGTAATTTTACTAACACACTTGAGCTACTTGAAGTTACAGCACCAAACACATTAGACATTAGATATTTGTCATTGTGTATATCCCCTTACCTGCATCTACTTCTTGTGAAAATCTTCACCTCCTTCACTGCCACTGGATATTACACTCAGTGGTTGGCGCTCACAGCCCTGGACCAGCATGTCACGGCACCCTTTAAAAGTATGCACAAACTCTAGGCATCCCAGTCTAAAATATAAAACCCATAAATATAAAAATGTAAAATACGACACGGTCCCTCTAAAATCCATACAAGGTCCTTATATGGGATAAGTGTCTGGTATGAATTTTAAGGGGTGGGGTTCCCCCTTCACATCAGAGTCTCCTTAATGTAAGGTTTAAGTGAGCTGCAAGGTTTGCTGAATCGCAGCTGCGGAACTCATGCCTGTAACAGGAATGAGGGGGTGGTTCAGGTGGACTGTTCCCGAGTACACTTAGTGCGGTGGGGAACCTGTACACATCATATACCACCAGCTAGCTAGATGTTTCACAGGTTACGGAGCCTGAACACGGCAGCCGAACCTTAGAAATGTGATTGGTTAGCAGCCAAGGGAAATGCTTGCGAAAAGGATGTGGAGGCGTGATCAGTACAGTAGTTCCCTATTAGTTTAACCAGTAAGCTTGAAGTGATATTTGCAATCAATAGTATAAGTAAGTCTCTCAGCATAACATGTTGAACATACAACTTTTCTCTCAGTATAATTTGTGAAACATGAACAAGTTAAGGTGGTGTTTAGGTACAGCCCCCTTCAACTAGTAGTGACAGTTCAGGGTTGTTATACTGGAACTGCAGTGAATGATATGGGGGTTAATCCCCAGAGTACTTGCGCTTCAGATGTCTGTAGCTGGGAGGAGGACTTGCAGGCTCGTGAGGTTACAGGCAGCCTCAGCAGATAGCACTGCTGGCCAGGGTCCAAGCTGGCAGCCCCGGGTAGGAGTAGTAGTAGTGCAGAAGTCTCTATCAAAAGGTGGTAGCTCTGGAGCAGGTGAGGTTCATGGGGTCGTTGCTGGGCGTTCCAAAACAATAGAACGCCGAGTGAGTGACTCACCTGTGAATATAACAGAGGAGCCGCGGCCAGTGGGAGGAGCCTGGCGTGACGTCACAGAGGAGACAGCGTGCTGCTGGAACGAAGGGACGCGCCAGGTGAGTCTGTGACACTTAACATCACAGCAACCCTTTTACATCAGAAGCCCCCCTTCACATCAAGGTCCCCCTCTTTTACATCAGGAGCATTCTTCACATCAGAGTCATTACTTTGAAACTGTCACACCCTGGTTGAGAAAGACTGGTGTAGACTGTGAGCTGCTTGTTGCTCCCTGGACCACCGCCTTCTTCTCTCTCTGCCATTCACAGAGCTTGTAATACCTTTATCTCACAATATATTACATTCTGTGAACATTAGTTGGAGATTCTGTTATTTAACTGCTCCTTCTCCATTCACAGAACTTGATGCATTGTGGAATATTAGTAACAATAGTTCTGTGAATGGTGGAGAGAGCAGAGGGAGTGGACCAGCAGCACAATCTTTCAGACTAACAGCTTATAGCCTACACTCGCTACAGGCTCACACAGTGCCGCAAGACAGCCGCTAAGTGTTTAGCACTAACCTAAATGAGATGCCTGCCAGGAAGTAGCTAAATCTCCCAGTAGCGTAGTAGAGAATGCCCTTGCAGTTTAGCCCTATACAGTAGTTTTGAAAGAAAGGTTGCACTGCAAAGACAGTGGACAGTAGACCAAATAGGCAGTGCCTTTTTTTTTTTTACCAGTTACACATGCCCAAAACACTGCATCAGTACACAAGGCTTGTATAATACAACCTGTCCTGCCCCTCTGCTGCTTCCCCCACATATCTGCCAGCCAATTCTCAGCTGTCAAAATGATAGCCTGGAGATGATCTATAAATACAGCAGCTATAATAGTTGCTGCTTTCAAAAAATGGACTGTCTGACACAGTGTTTAAAAACAGAGATATAAAGTAACATTGTTACTTTTGTATCTCCTCTGTTTCATTCATCTGCAGGTCAAAGGAACAAGTGTTGACATGCATATGCCGTTAGTTAAAGCAGCGTTTTTCAACCACTGTGCCGCGGCACACTAGTGTGCCGTGAGATATTTTCGGTACAGTTTGAATTTAAAACGTATTTGTGTGAAGTGTGAAGTTAAGTCATGGATTGAACAGAAATATGAACAATTATAAAATACTTTATTATTTCATAATAAAGTAATTATAAAATAATTTCTTTGTGTTTATTTGATTCCTATTCAAGAGAATTACTTTATATATAGTCAATATAGGCACAGAGGTAAAATTTTTTAACATTTTCTAATGGTGGTGTGCCTCGTAATTTTTTTCATGAAAAAAGTGTGCCTTTGCACAAAAAAGGTTGAAAAACACTGAGTTAAAGCAACCTGAAAAGTTTTAAAAAAATAAAATAAAAACTAGCCCTATTTGACCCCTCATTAACCCTTTGTTTACCTTTATAATCCCTCATTAATTCTTTATTCTCCTTCTCCCCTTAACAATTTTCCCACTGATTCCTTTATTATTTCTATTTCTTTTAACCATTAACATTTAAACTTTTTTTGTTTTTATTTTTGTTAATTATTTGTTCAAATAAACAGTCTCTAGTGCAGGCTTTAAACATGACATTCCTTAAATGTACTAAACTTTCCATAATGGGAAGGACTGAAGTGCAGAATCATTACTAAAGTATACATAAAGGACATTTAAGTAGGGCTGCAGCTAACGATTATTTTCATAATCGATTAGTTGGCCGATTATTAAGTTCGATTAATCGGTTAATCGGATAAAAAAAAAAGGCTCCAGTGATGGACTACTAGTTTCTATTGCGATTGTAGTCCATCACAGGAGCAAGCTTGGCACGGTGGAAGTAAAAAAAAAGTGTGGTGTGCAATATAGTACATTATACAGCGGCGCAATGCAGAATACCAGCAGCTATAGAGGAATGCAGCAATAGTACATTATACTATAATGTACTATTGCTGGGATTTGTAGTCCTCTGTAGCTGACGTTATTCTGCATTGCACTGTATATAATGTATTATTATCCTGGGATCTGATGTATTCCTCTATAGCTGGCGTTATTCTGCATTGCGCTGTATATCATTTATTATCGCTGGGATTTGTAGTCCTCTACAGTGCGCATGTCCTCAGCGTGGGCGTGGCTAAGCGGCGTCGCGTGAGCGGGTTTACCGGCGTCGATCGTCGACTTTTGGACTGTGGACTTTTACGTTATTATAGTATGCCATGTTTGCATGTGTTTTCGCTGTTAACCACGCTGCTTTAAACTGCTATAATGTTTCTACTGACAATGGCATGGCAGGACACTTTACCCTTACCCGCCCGCACCCTTGTGATGATCGTGTCACATCCCCCCGCCCCCACCCCACCTCATACCGTACCATCATCACCACTTAGCTATTAACCCTACATCTCTATGATGGCCCGGATGCTCTGCTTACCGCAACTAACGGTGGATTTCCTTACACTCCTACCTTACTCACTCACTCACTCACTC